TCCTGAGATAGATAGATAGATAGTTTATTACCAAATAAAATACATTGCAGCCATAGGCTGAATTGCGTGCTTTTCACAATCTTTGATTATATAAGACTATATAAGACAACCAATTACAAAAATGCTAAGACCTAAATAAAATTACTAATATAACAACTATAACTAATATACAGCAGTAGAGTAGCTAAAAATCTAGGTTAGCACACGCGCACATAGCCGGGATAAATGAAGATTTAAAACGATCAGTGCGAAAGCGCGGCATGTTAAAAACGCGCCGGTGTCTAGTATTGTAAGCTGAAAGATGTCTATCTGGCAGCAAATTATATAATTTGTGAGATGGATTTGAGACAGACAAAAACAGATCCGTACATAATTTAATGCGTCTGTCATAGAGCGAAGCTAAACCGTGCCTTTCCAAAGAGTCATGGTATGACAGTTCTGGTGAAATGATGGATAATGCGCGTCGTTGGACCCTTTCAATGTCATCACTAAGATACGCAGGTAACGCATGATGGAATATTTGTGCGCAGTATTTCAGAACAGGACGTATAGTTGTACATTAAAAATTAATTATGTCATCCGCTGGAACGCGGGCTCTCTTCAGGAGGACTAAAAAGTATAATCGTTTGTTTGCTCTTTTTATAACATCAATGATGTGGTTGTTCCACCTAAGGTTACACGAAATAGTCACGCCTAGGATCCTAGCCGACTCTACCGTCTCTAATTCTTTGCCATCTACCAAGAGGGGAGTGAAATGGTGTTTCTGCCTTTTGTAGTCGGTGACCATAACTTTGCATTTGTCAGCGTTAAGCTGCATCTTCTGTCCTTTGCACCAATCCTCCACCACTTTAACAGCGGTTTGGGCGTCACCTAATGCGTTACGCGGGAGGATCTCTGCCACCGTCGTGTCATCAACGTTCTTCCAAGTTTGAACCTGGGGAATTCTTAGATCATTTATCATTAGCAAGAAGAGCCATGGCCCCAATTTTGTCCCCTGAGGTACATCAGCTGGTACGGGGCCCCACTCAGCGAAACAATCAGCAGATAATTTTACGTGTTGGTAGCGATGCACTAAGGAGTCGACTACCCAACGTGCTACACCCCGAGGGATATCAAGACTGTAAATTTTATGAGTGAGCAGTTGATGGTCAATGTAGTCAAAAGCTTTGCGGTAGTAAAACAGGACCACACTGACTGCATATCCCGTGCCATCAGTTGCGCGCGTCCAGTGATGGAGCATGGACGTCAGAGCTAGGGCCGTGGAGGATTTCGGTAAGGCTCTAAACTGGTCGGATAGATAATTTTCAACACAGTCGGACCGATGAACGCAGATACCACGAAGTCTTCGGCTAATTTGGAAATTATTGGTGTGAGGGAAATGGGTCGTAAGTGCTTGTTGATGACTTCGACAGGTTTCTGTTTAGGAATGGGTACCACATCCGCCAGCTTCCAAGATGGGGGAAGTTGTTGCTCAGCAAAGCTACAATTAAGGATGGAAGTCACTGGCTGAGCTATAAAGTCAGCATATTCCCTAAACACCCAACTAGGTATCCCATCGGGACCCGCAGCCTTGCGGGGGTTCAACTTTCTGATTGCGGTCAAAACATCGACCTCAGAAATGGTTACCACCGCCGAGTTCGCTTCGAACTATCTCATTACTCGAATTTGACACATTCTAAATTCTAAATATCCCTCACTGATTGACCCTGATTGAGTTGCTCCCCTCTGCGTAATTTGGTAAATTTGAAATTTTACTCATGTGGCGTTTTGTCGTTTCTCGTTTATGTTTGACTGATTAGCAGAAAATCGATTTAATAACTTCCTAACGAAAATTTCAGTTATACTCCACTGCAGATTTTTTCTATGAAGAAAAAAAACTCATTTAAAGTGAAAAAGAAACAAACAAACAAAATAATCACGAAAATAAAAACCAGCAAACAAAACTTAAAGAACAAAACGGAAAGCAAAAAGGCGAATCCACAAGATAATTCCCGCAAGATGTTTAAGCTGC